GCAACTCCGAGTTGCTACAACGCTCAATGTTCGACGTGATGACAAAGAGAGAGAAAGGGAAAATGAAATACAGAGGAATGGAAAAAGTTCTTCTTCATTGGTATGATCAGCTGTTTAAGTTATTGATAAGTTTGCTGTTCATAGACCAAGCAGCTTGTGCTACCATAGTTCCTTAATATTTCATATTTTTTTCCATCATATGTTTAGAAACTTATTGTCGATATGTTATAGTTTGAAGTACTAACCTTCATATATCATTTACTGAGTGGAATTACTTTTGTTTATTTCTTATACCTGAAATGATGAATGAGATAGCTGGTTAAGTGCTGTGAAAATTTTAGTTGAACCTTACTGGTGTTGTTTTGTTATTCCTTTAAGTAAACGTAATTTTTCAGGAATCCACTCCACTGCATGAAATCGAAAAAAAAGTTGAGGAAGAAAGGAAAGATTTTGACGCTAAAACATATTTTTCTAATCAATCGCTTTCTGCTGTTCGTCGTCGGTCGCAAGTAAGTAAAGATTTTGTATTGAATGGTTCAAGTTAATTTATAAATTATTTGCTTGATCGATCTTAAGAAATGACTTGTCGATATGTTTGAAAAGCATGTGGATTTTAATTTGAAATGCATTATTTCATTGTAGGTTCCAAGAACAGCACGGCGTGTAACAGGTCCGGTTCGAATTGACGATCTTCAAAGTGAAGAAGCATCGGATGATTCAGCGCAGAAAAGTGGTAGTGACATATCTTCAATCAACACAACCACACCATCATCTTCTAGTGTCGATCTCTCAAATTCTAACATTGCTACTACTTCCTACAACTTTAGAGACAATGCTCTTACAACCATTGCTTATACTCAGGCTGCTCTTACTGGTAAAGTAAGGACTACCCAGGTATGTCGTAGTTTACATATATCTATCATTTAAAAGGTCATCTCTACAAAATTTTTTGGTTCGATTTTCTCAAAACAATAATGTAAATTATGCGATCACTCAATTGCTTCTAATGAGAGTACACGCCTAGCAGAATTCATTTATTGGCTTTTGTTCTTTGCAGTTTATTTCCCGTTTGGTTCCACTTTCCTTGTTCTTTACTATTGGTGCAAAACTGCAATTTACGAAATTTTGAGTGCAATTTACTTCACACACTCAGAAAGATATTACTCCTCGTGGTGGAAATGTCCGTATGGTAGCAGTCTACCTATCATATCAGAAATATTAATTAATCACAATTCCAAGATGAGAAGCTTCTTATTTTATGGATGGAATATTCTGTCTAATTCTTCCAATTTTGTCTCCAACTCGTTACAGGCTAATTCGATACATATCGGTGGAGGTACAGCTGCGACAGCTTCATTTCAAATGCTTAATAGTAGGACGAAATGTCAAGATACAGCTGTAGATTACAAAGTACTATATGAAAAGGAAAAACAGGAGACGGAAAGATTACGGCGCCGGATTGAAGAGCTTTCATTAGAGGTTATTCTATTTTGATTGTAAGTAGTACAAGCAAAATATTCATATATGTAAGTTGAATCGAAAGTTGGGAAAGCTGTTTTTTTAGAAATTCAAACGTTTAATATGAATATGATTATGTACTTGATTCTTCAAACTATTTGTACCGGTTGACAGTGATAAGACATGTGTCATGGTTCTCAATTATATTGATGAAATTATGCCTTTTTTATAAAGTGTTCTCCTACGCTAATTTTGAGTCTCCACATCCATTCATTATTGTTACTTCTCTAATCCTTTTTCTCAGAATATAAATATTCTTTTTTAATTCACATCCATGTTATAGTTTGAGGATGATTTCGAAGCTGTTTTTTTAACTCCTTAGAAAATCTTAATAAACAGAAGTGACAGCCGCTACAAAGCATAACTGAACTTTTGATCATTCTCTATAAATGTTTTAGTTTGGAATAATAGGATCTGTACTAAACCAATGTCCTTTATTGTTATTGAATATTTAGAAATCGAATTCAGCAAACAACATTTCATTATCGAAATGTAATGTTGGAGGACGGCTTGCATCACTGCCATCACTTAATAAGTCTTCATCATCGGCATCAATGGGCGATCGTGAACGACATAACTATGAACAACGAATTGCCGAAATGCAATATGAAATTGAGGTCATTTTAACTTTTTTCTCCAATAATTTTAATTCATTTTATCCGTGTAAAAATTTGAAAATTCCTACTTTAAGATTGGAAAGTATATGTATATATATTGATATCGTTTGAGGTACTTCTTGCTTACTTTTTTCGTAGAAATCATGTCTTACAATTTTTTAATTGTTAGAGATACAGACTTAATAAAGAACGTTAGAGATAGCGAGCTTCATTTCACGTATTGGTCTGTTATATGCTATTTTGAACTTGGGGAATTTCTTTTGATATTAGCGATAATAGACACTTAGCAGGAATTCAGTTCTTAAAAAGTAAGATCCGATATAAAATACACTGGACGGTTCATGAAGAATTGAATGTTGAACTTTCCTAAAGCTTCTGAAATTGAAGGGACAAATATATTTTCTTCAAGATTTTTTGTAAACCTCTTTCACTGCTAACGTATTAAAAGCAAGTTCATATTAACTTAGGAATTGAAAAAGTTGGAGAAAAGCAATGATTCGCTACGAGTGGAAAACGAAGCACTGATTCGTGTGTTATCTAAAATGAGCCGTCAACAGAGTACACCAACTTGGCCTCGGTAGTGTTAGCTTGGGTTGCACTTGGCTAACAATGCTGTTGTTTCTATTAGTGCTACCTTTTCGCTTTCTATAACCTTAGTTATTCATTCATTCCTGAACCTACTAGCACATAGAACATCGAGCATATCGTAACTGGTAGATAGATTATACGGGGTGAATAGCGCTGATTTTGGTAAACGATATCGAAATTATTCATGGAATTGGAACTGTGGATAGGATCATAATGAGGCTAGTCTAAAAGGTGATAGGGTGAGGAATATCATTATCACACTTTGAGATTAATGGCAGTTTTAGATGTCGTAATGGTTTTTCTCGAGTGGTTCAGGGATTCATCTTTTCCTTAAAATATTTTTGCAACGTTTGGTGTGTCATAGTCAATATTGCTTTGAAGAACTTTTGGATTAGATGATTTTATCCCGATCTAACATTCCAAATTATTGTACTTTTTGCCTATGTTCTGGCTTGCGGTGAATCTAACTGCATTATTTTGAGTATGTAATAGTAACATAGTATATTAGTGATATCGTTAAAGCCAGCTCCCCACTTCTGGATATATTTATTCTTTGAATCATTATAAATTAGTCGTTGTAATAATTCGAGACACTTTAACTTTCCTGTGTTTAAGTTGTAGAGACAGAGTAGAAGTCTGTCTTCATTTTTGATATAGCTAACTGGCATTCTGAATAAGTCAATACAAGGTTTTCGCAAATTCACTACGCTATGTGAGAAGCATATTATGCTCAGCAAAGTTTGATTAGATGCTCATTTATTAGTTAAAGCGAGCTGTAGCTGCAAAACATGCTTGGAATGATGTGAATTAGTTAATATGCTACGTCTAAAATGTCTTTGGACAGCTTCATGAATTTTGTTTTGCAAATAATTTTGTTATTACATGTGCTATCACTCGAAAATATTTATTTTTCCAATAACTTACAGTTTGATCAAGGGGTTATTTTACTTTTGAGTTTTAACTCAAAAGGGATTTTTACGAAAACGTTATTAAATATGCGATTTACAGCAGTTGGAGCATCTGCGCGCGGACAACCAAAAATTAAAGGAAGAGAATGGAGCACTGATACGCGTAATATCAAAGCTATCCAAATGAGCGATTCAGTTTATTGTTTTTAGGTTCCTTTCTCTTATTATTATCTTATTGTGGAGTGATTTATTTTTTGGATTCTATTGATTATAAGAAATTGTCATTAGACCAAAAACTGCCCTGCTAATCGCTATTCTAGTTTGTTCTTAATCATGTTCATCCTGTGAAGCATTGTGCAATTCACTATAATGTTGTGATAAATTTATTCCGATTTGTGAGGCATTATTATTATCTGTTTTCATCTTCGCCGCTCCTACAGTTCTTGCTTGCAATATTTTTTTCTTCTGTCTATTTATTTATACCAAAGTGCAGTTTTGCCGAATACTGTACCAGCGCACGAATTTCGCAGCATTCTGGAAGCTATTTTTATTGATTATTTTCCAGATGTTCGATTATTTAATAATATATTGTAGAAGGTTTTATGTATTTTCAACAGAAAGAGATCTAGGCTGATATATTTTTTGCATTTACTTTATTATACTAGGATCTGTATTTTACTGCTGCCGTGGAATGTAATACGATTTTGCTCATATAATTATATCGTTATCATATGCCTTAATTCTTTTTGTTAGCCTAAGTACATTATTCACTTATATACATAGTAGCCTTAAGGTGTCGATTCCACTAGATTAATGATTCAAATGAAATGATAAAAACTATTGGTTTAACTGCTGAAGTTAATGGAATCTTCCGCGGTTCGTGTTCTGGAAAAAGATAATGATTTAAAAGTTTTTAAATCATATTGTTTTCTTTTTCGTTAATCCGCACCACTCTTCATTAGCGATTACTCTGCTCTGTGCCGCGCATTTTCTTCCATTTTTTTTTCTCCTTTGAAATAGGTATTGAATGTGGAATGTTTCTGATTACGTTTCTTGTTTTTCAATCCATAACAAAAAAGAATAAATTTGTAAAATATCGACGTCTTTTAAGTCAATAAAGTTACATAATCACAAGATCAATTTAACTCATGACAAGAGAAAAATGGTTCGAAAGTTCCGTATAAATATGCTAAATATGCTTAAAAAGAGCCACTTCCTACTTGACATGATCTAAAAGGATGTGTCATTCACATCGATTTCAATTTACTGAGAGTTCCTCCTTGCTAATTATTGCAGTATGGATATAAGATATCTCAAAATAACTATTTATTATTCAAGTAACAATACAGTATAAAGTAAGAGCGTTTCTCTAGGCTTTCAGTTTAACACTTTTCACAGTCGATGCTCTGATTCCTCGGGTTTCACCTCCGTATGGAATTAACTCTTTCCGTACACCAGGCTTTTGTGAGTGTTTTTTGATTAAAGCTTTCTTGAATTGTTTTCTCTTCTTGATTCGTGAATGCTGTGTCCCTTTCTTCCGCTTATTTTGCAAACCTTTATTCTTCTCAATCTAAATACACCACACAGTAAATGAATGTGAAACAGATCATAAAACATAATATTTACTATTTATTGTCACCGTATAGTAACTGCTAATAAAGCAATTTTCTGAAATTTCGGAAGAAATCATTTTTTAGATTTTTTTAAAGCGGAAAAAACAATTATATCTCTTTTTTCCAATGAGATATGAATTCAAACACTAAAAAATAGATTGGTAAATACTGCTGACAAAAAAGCTTTCGAAATGCTGGAACAAAATTGCTAGTCATAAGCATCAAAAAACTGACTTGGTTGTTTATTGAACGTTTCATAATTCCTTCCTCCACTTTGTTATTCACAACCTGGATTTTACTATCTCTTTCAACTTTTTCGATTAGTAGTTGCTCATTTTCTTCACTTCCCTTAGAAATTTTCCGTTTCCATGCAAACTCTATTGTTGGCAATACATCTAACATATTCTCGAAATCTCTCGATTTAATGTTATTTCTTATCTTCCCCAGAATGCCACCGTGTTTTTCAAGGAAACGTGTAACAACGAACACTTTCTATAACATATCATAAAACGTAAAACAATTATTAAAATATAATATATCTAAGAACGTCATAAAAGCGAAGAGAGAATTGATAAACATAATAAGATGTTGCTCCAGATCACAACTTGCAAATTGCTCCTCAACATACATTTCAAATATTAGACTGAGATTTGTTATTACTAAAAAGTGCAGCTAATAAGATTTACTTTTCGAAGAATTGAAAGAGCTTGCAGAACAGGATGATCGATAAATTGAGGAACTTGTTGAGCAGAATTGCCGGCAATCTTTATGTGAATTGCAAACAACAAATTGCTTAAGTATCTGAAGAATATGCTTGGTTTGTTTCTTTATTAATTTCAGTTGCTCATAAAAGTCCAAATCATTTCATTTGCAGAAAAGTTCATGCTTCGTTTCCATATTACTGATTAGCACAAAAATGGTTGAGAATAATGAACTTTAAAGTTTAATTGTACCTGAAATCTTCTCTTTTAATTTGCAAAACTAACCAAAAAATTTAAATCTGATCTAATTTCTTTTGGTAATGAATATTTTCCATTTTTCAGAATTCCCTTCTCGTTTCTTTGGAAATAAAAAATGAATAGATGAAGAGTTTCAGTTCTACCTAAACAGCTCTCTTTTTTTTCTTAACCTACTTGATTGGGATGGAATATAAAAAGTAAGTAATGTGATACAATTCATCGATAGAGTCATTGGGTATCTTTAACTTTATGAACTGTTTTCCAAACTTTTGATCTTTATAAAAATAAAAAACAGCAGAAAGTTAAAGCTTTATAAGAGGAATATAAAATAATAAGAAAAAATCTTTCTCCTTAAAAAAATTATGATATCTCTCTTTAAATATACTATCGACAGTCGCCTCAAAGGAGCAAAATCTTACCTCGAAAATACGTTAACTACAAGAAGTAGTTGCTTTTCTAGCACTAAACCTGGTCGCAAATGTTTCACTGAATGAGCCAAATCTAAGAGAGGAAGCACATCGCTTAGGAAATATGTTCTCTGCAAAATGATACAATTAAATTCGATAATAAATTCTGAATTCTTGAAATGGTCATCTCGTACAACAACCAAAGTGAAAATTTCAAAATAAAGAAAAAGCTTTTTGAAATAAACCCGTTCTTATATCATCTAAGCATGTCATTAGAATTATTTTTTTCTGTAAATGCACCGAATAATATAAGCGAATTTCCAATTTAAAGTAAGAAAACTAATAAATAGATCCGTGTGATTTATTAAAATAGCCATTTTTTGTTTTTTAAGTCGTTATATACAAAATCTGAATGTTTTGATTCATATTTGTCAAGAAAATCTTGCCTTCGCCTGGTACTCATCAAATATCTGCATCAAATCAGGATTAACTTTTAAAAAATATTCGTATTGTTTTTCTGTAGTCATGCTATCAATATCTGGAGGTTCACTCAAATCATGAGCAGCTTCTTCTTCATGGATTTCAGCCTGAAAATATAGACATTCAAGTTAACATAATCGAAATTTTAAATTGTGCTATCTGCTACAAACCTGAAATTGCATAGGCAAAAAGCCAAGAGTAGCATCTAGTTTCTTCTGCCTTGCAATCGCATCTTCCTCTTCCAATTCGGCTAATTCTGCTTCTGTTTCATTCATGCCACCCCAATCCCCATCGACATACGAAGTGTTGTAGAAACTTCTCCGACTACTACCCCATCTATCCGCCGAAGGTAAAACTGAAATTACAAGTTCTTGCTTCGTGCAACATAACTATTTCAAACAGCAGCAACTGATTCGCACTCCCAACTAAATTAACTAACCAACTACAACACCAGTGCGATATCACTATTACCTATACTCTTTTAGATATCACTATTACCTATTACCTATACTTGCAAAAATTTTTTCGTTTTGATTTTTACTTTTCTCTCCCAATTTCTTTTCCTTTTTCCTCTTTTATTAAAGATATGAAATCATATTTTGATAACAAATCTGACCCATCACATCATTTAAAAATAATGATGAAAGGAACGAATCTTTTCTAAAGACAGTCCATTGATATGAAACTATAAACAGTTTTTAATATTCAGCTGTTGATGCACAATGAAATGCAGGAAAAAGATATTGCTAACCACATTAAAAATCATAAGGACTTACAGTTCTCAACGTTATTTAAATCATCGTTGTCAGAATCCGAAAAAGAATTTCTCTCCTCTTCATTGTCATAATCATCATCAACATTTGATGAATCTCCTTCGACATTTAATATCTCCACCTGCCTACGAATCGTAGTATCTACCTTATCACTCTCAGGCATATCCAGTGACATGTGATGACGATCAATTTCATCATAAATCTCATCACTATCTTCTTCTGAATCCATTTTGTCCTGAAAATAAGGGAGTAGCAATTCGACTTAATTTAAAACAATAGGTTACTTTTCCGCTTTTGAAAGAATACAACAAACAAACAAAGACATTTACCGGTGGGTGAGTTAATCCTTATGGATTTAAGAATACAATGAAGTGATTCTTAATTTAGATACGCATATTTAAATTTAAGATATGAAACTATCACTTGTTTATATTTTGAGCGGAAAAGTACATACTGACAACATAAGAAATTAAAAGTGAATTTGATAAATTTCTGAACAATTCCACGAAAGAATTTGAAAATATTCAAAAAAGTTATTAGTTGTCTATTCATATAACAAAAATTGAACACTTTTTTAGTCAAAATAAAATTAAAATTCACAACTGAAAATCAATATTAATTTGTTTGAAATTTGAAATTTACAGATAAACGAAACTTACAAAAAAACTATTAGAGAAAAAATTCCTGAAAAAAAAAAACACTGCTCTTGGCTTGTCAATGAGGAAGAAAGCACAAGAAATTCTTCCGTCTCAATTTGAAGTAAATCCCTTTCAAAGTCAATTTGCACATCACTGAACCAAGCTCCTGCATATCCGTAGCATGCCACGAATTATGAGACGGCTGGTTACGGCGGGGTAGTTTGAATTCGAGACGCTTAATGTATCATCCTTCGGGCGCATTTAGATTGTACGATGTGTGGCGGTTGGGTAGAAACATTGTTAAATTATTTCATTTCAAACAAAAAATTTACGAATTATTTTTAGGGATGTGATATATACTTTCATCAATTCTAAAAATATTTTTGAAATTTCAACTTCTCCCATCCTCTTTTGTCTTCATCCTGTCTTCTTTATCTCTTCTTCGAAATCTTATAGCTATTTCTTTTCTATTTTTATGATGAAATAAAACCATTTTCAAACATTATTACTTTTTGCAATTGTTTGTGGAAATGGTTAGCTTTTCTTTATGTAAGTTGATAAAACTCGTTAGAATCCGAAATCGCTTAGTTATTAATGACACTAACATACCACCGAGCGGTAACTTTAGTAATAAAGAATCATTGGTTTTTAACAAATTAGATGAATGTTAGGATCAGAAGGAGTGATGGATTTTCGAGTTCGGGAGAGGTTTTTTTTTCGGAAACGTAGAAATTCTCGAAGGAACTATAAAGTAGATTAAGCACGTCATGATTCTTTAAAAATAAGAAATAAGTTTACTTTAGTGTTAAGGATTAAGCCAGTGATAATGGAAAGGAAATATGATGAGCAAATACCTTCTTTTTCTTATAATGTACCGAATATAGTTAAGAGTTAAGGAAATTGTACTTTCCTCCATAAATTTTCATATTTTTTGTTGGAAATGCATACACATAGTCAAGCTTGATCCGTAAAAGGGATAAAGCATAGAGTATTTATATTGAAAAGATGTAAAAGATTCATTTAAAACTGTAATGCTACAAATACTTAGAAAAGAGTCTAATTATGTCCAATCTATAAGTTCATTTTTTTTCTTGTATAATATACCGAATGGTTTAAGATGATAATTTCATGAAGAGGACAAACTACGCAAAAAACTTAGTCCTGTATTTAACTATTTAACTTTTTTTAAATAAATTTATCTAGGCTTTTACAATCCTACATGTCTGATCTGTTATATGTAAGGTTGTAGAAGTCTGGATAAATTTATTAAATGAAGTTCAACGTTGGCCGGCATCCGAATAAGTTTAATAATTGAATTAGCATGTTGTGAAAATTAAAATGATTATAAAATTTTATGCATTATTATGTAATGGTGCACTGATAGGCATATGTCAGTTGTGTATCCCATTACATTAGTGAGTACGAAAGAATGTTTCAGGATATGTTCTGGTCGAGCGACCTGGCAACTTCTGTGAGTAAACTAGATGAATTACTAAGGAATGATACCGCAACGCTAGCAGACGTGTTGGAAGATGATTATACGATACAAGAAATTCGTAATGGCAACCATCAGCTTATTAAATTGTAAGTTTGAATTCATATTTTTAGAATTATTATTTGCCTTGCTTGGTTGCTTATTATAGGGAGTCTCGAGCGATTATATGTGTTGTAAAATGATTATTTGACATCGCTGTTTTGTGCGAATGATGTAGTGAATGGATGCATGATATCATCCATCAATTGCATCAGTTTAATATATTTGAGTTGCAAACTGTTAATGACTTGATGTTTCTAAGTACCAGGAATATTTAAAGGCATAAGCTTTAAAGCTGTCCGCGGAGTCTGTCATAGTGGTATGACAGCCTGATGGCATATAGTTATATGATAGTGTTCGCCTTCCAGGTGTTTTTAGGTTACAAATATCATACGTTCCGTTTTACCTTTGTCAGTTCGAGTGTTAATGGATATGAGCAAAACGAGGTCTAAGAAGAGTTATTTTTTATGAACTTTATGGATCAGCTCTACATTTACAGTTTAACAAGACAAGAAGTAGTAGCGCAAATGGTCAAAGGTGCATTGGAACCAGAAATCGATGAAACATTACCACTAAAAGAACAGTACAGGTATTTTTACCTTCTCTCACATCGCCAAGCTTTTAAAAACGTAGATATTGTGTTTATTTAACGAGTCATTATTTAGTTGTTTGATATCAGCTGTTGGAAAAATTCAGACTTGAAACTTATTGTATGTATTTACAGAAAAGCTCATTTGTGCGCTGAGATCTTATCGATAAATAATGAAGAGATTAGTAGGGCACTCATCAACAACGAAGAAGCATGCAGTTTATTTTTCGATTTTCTGGACAGTAGGAAATTGAATCACGTCATCGTCAATTTTTATATGAAAATATTCTCACAAATTATTAGTAGATTCCCTGATCAGGTACGTATTTGTTTTTTTTTTTGTTTTGTATTCCAAATAATATCTATTTATATGGCATGGGACTAGTTGTATGTACGATAAATTGTCCTTTGGGAAGAGTAGATTAATGGGAAATCCTTTAGCCCTTAATTAATTTGCTCTTGGAAATGTTTGAAGATAGTTTTTTATATTTTTATGCTAGGAATCAAACAGCGGAAACCATGGATGACTTAGTTATGGGGATAGGTTAGGTGACAATACCTTGTCGGTCTTTGACATAGTCTTACCTGCTTGGAAATGGATTTTTGTTTACAATTATTAGGGACGACTTCCAATTTTTAAGAGCTTAAGGGATGCTTTTGGTGACCAATGCATCTTGGTTAGTAATTAAATTTTGTTTTTGCTTATCCTATTTTTATTAAATTGTAAGTTATCCTATTTTTAAACAATTTATTTTATTTATTTTTAGCTAGAAAACGGTGCTAGGTAAATAATAAATTTAGGTATTTCCTCGCATGAAGGAAAGTCAATTTTTGATTCACTGTATGAGGAATATGAAGCATTCGGCTGTGATGGAACTGTTATACCGTATTGTTAGTGGCTTATCAGATGTTGAACAGCAAGATTGCATTAAACAGGTATTAGTACCATTATTTTACTGATATAATTGTACACTGGCAGAGCATATTTTTCCTTGAATATTATACAAAACTGATAGATTTCAGTGGTGTGCAGAAAATCGAATGGTGGAAAGTCTTTGCGACCTTCTTGTTCCAGAACAACCACCTGTTGTAGGTTTTATTATTATATCTAAGTTAGAACTGTGTAAAATTATCTAAGTACCAATGCAGGAGCCAAACTTTGAATCAGTTCTCATTTCTCGAGTTGATATAGTTGAAGCTAATCATTAAAAATTGCTTGGCTCTGTAGTGTTTAAAAAACTTTCGTTTCTGGTTATAGGTTCATGACAATGTTGGTCATTTATGGAGCGAATTGGTACGTATATTACGTGATATTCAGTACACCGCAGAATGCAAACGGAATGATTCTTTATTAGAGAATTTGCAATCGGAGCGAAATGTGCGACATTTAATGAGTCGTATGTTACCTGACAATATAGAGCAACGTCGTGATTCTGTTATTGTCAATGCTGCCGCTATTTTGATTACTCTCTTGGAAACTAATTTTATCCCTAACTGGTTTGAATTTTTTATTTGGACAATGTGAGATGTTGAAATAGAAAATTTTTGGTTATCAAGAACACTCAACATACTGCTGTGCTTTAATTTGTTTCATCCTGTTGATTTTTTAAGGCTTTTAGAGAAGTCCTTCAAAGGGGCAACAATCTTATTTTAGTAAAGTGGAGAAACTTACAACTTGATATTGCTTTTGAAAACTCCACAGTTTACTTTCCTAAAAGAGCCATTTATTTGCAAAATGACTTGTATTCCAGTTAGTAATTTTCAGTCCCAGTCATCAGTTAGGGATGGAGGATCGTGGTATTCAGACGCAATGGTTCGGTGGTGTTCCAGTCGCAGAAAATGAATTAAACGGCACAACGGTGTGGCAACCTGATGCAGGTCATATTGTTGAAACAATCGTTGCTGCTTCAGCTGATCGGATTGTCAATGCAGTAATTGATTCCCTTAAGGTATTGCACACAATCATTTCAAAGAGGCTTTTCTATGATTTTTGTTTTATATTATTTTTTTTCCGTTTCTGTTCCTTTTACTGGTTCGCTAAAGAAAAAAAAAAAACTTAAAAACGCTCGCATACTTTGAAATATTAAGAAAGCTTTTCACGCTGAATTTTATGTTGATCTTTTTCTTACCTCACGGTTTGTATTATCCAGATTTCAGTACAGTTGAATTACCGTGTATTTTTTGTTTTCAGAAATTTATCTCTGTTAAAGTTTATTGATGAGTATATTTGTCTGCAGATAGGAGATGGTGATATAAAGATGTGCAGCGATGCATGGTGTCCACTGATGCGATTATTGGTACTAGTATTAGATACAAATCATATGGCAACACATCAGGCTGTTTTGGCAGCATTTTCATCTCTTTCAATAAGCCCCTTCAAGCTGTTTCTCACTTATGTCAACACTCGTCCTCAACTTACACTCTTTCAAAACCTTTTACATCGAGCCATTGCTTATATTCTTTATACACTTTCGCCTTCTCCTTCGCCACTTATACAATATTTAATTAAAGTAAGTCTCCGAGAAATTATAATTCTTATATGTGTTATAAATGTGTGCTGTACATCGTATAATCATAATTTCTCATTAATTTTTTTTTTCTGTATTGAACATTTGATCCAGCCGGAATATAGATTCAACTACTCAGTCTCATTTTCTGTTTTACTAGTCTATAGTGTACACTTTAGTAATAGGATACTTTTTGTGGAAAAAGCTTGGCTGCGGTGGAGTTGCAGCTAAATTTAGAAAAAAATCCATATAAATTAATTAGATTGTAATGACTTTTTTATTTCACAAGTTTTTTGAATCAATTCTGATTTTTTTAATAAATTTTCTAGGATGTGGATATATTAGGGCATATATTGGCAGGTTGTGAAACATCACAAGCGGATTTTCTACATGGGTCTTCAAAAAGAATGCTGCATGGTTTTTATATGAATCTTGCATTATTAATTAAATGTGCTTCCGAATCTTCGTGCAATGCTGAATGCATCACCCAGTTTATTCAAGGTTAGACTAAGTTTCTTGAGTGTGTTTGCATATATTTTATTCCAACAACAGCTTTGTATATTCCTTCCTTTGTTTTTCTCTCGTCAAGTAAAGAAGTATACTATTAATGATACAAGACTATAAATATTTGTGTATTTATAGCATCTGATCAAGCTGCCCGTTGGGAAGTTTTCTCAAAGGCGATAAAAGAATATGAAGAGAAAAATCGTGGCGACGATACAGGAATTACTCCCCCACCGACTAGTAATGTCCTCGACACGGCGAAGATTGATGCATGTGATGTTCCTGAACCTATGGTCAGTAGTGCTGCAGAGGTATTCTAATTTCATGTATTATTTTTTACTTATTCTATAAGGTTTTGAAGTATTTGATTTCTTATAGTAAAAGCTTTTTTTGGACAAATATTTTCTCATTAATCCTTTATGATTTTGGTTTTTATAAAGTGGTTCCGAATGCTCCAAAATTAGGCAGTGGGGAAGGAGCTCGCGCGAATTGTTTTTAATTATTTCGAATTGCAGTTACTGGATGAATATGAACAATATTTAATACCTCGGTCACTGGCAGAGGACGTTGCAATATCATTCCCATGCTCTTCTCACGACACTGAGTATGCAAATTTATTTTTGCGTTAATAACAATAAATGTTTTATTATAAAATGTTAGAGTTATAAAGTTTTGTTGTAAAGGAATAATATTGCTATTGTAAAAAAAACACCTCATTAGCCATCATTGGGATAAGTGCTGTGTAAAATCTGCAAATGGTATCATAAATCCAGCATACAAATTCTATAGTAATCCTACAGGTCTTTTATTTCAAGACAATAGATGATATTTTCAAACAAAAAGCTTTGATCTCCAAATATTTTATTTATGTGGGAATAAAATTTATGTAATTTTAGTTATGAGATCACTGATATCACGTCGGATTGTGGTATTGCGAAAGATTTTGCTAACATCGTGAGTTTTTTCTTCCGTCATTCAATTTTACAAAATTGTAGATTTCAAATGTGGATGTTTTACTGATAAATGTTGTTTAGGGAAATGAAGATATGTTTGATGCAATGTGTGCATTGAGAATCGACACAAGTATTACAAGTAAGGATTCAGGGGATGGATGGCCAAGTGCAAGCAAGCCCAAGGTATTTTAACGATTTACTAAAATTCCAAATCAGGGAGGGAAAACGGAACAGATTATTCATTTTATAGAATCGATGTGCTTTTGTGTATAATAATTAATATTAATTGATTTTGTATAGGAAGTAGAGAGCAAAGCAACTTGCGATAACGAAAACGACTCGGGATCGAAGTCCTCCGAATTTTGGAACAATGCTGCTGCTGTGCTGAATCCTAAAGAAATTACTCCTAACGATATCCCTGAGGCTAGTGAAAGAGATGCATCGAAGATGAATGTGGCCAAAGAAGAAAAGAAAATATCAAAATGTGTCATAGGTGACTTTTTTTAAGAATAATGTAAATAATTTCATTATTTGATAAAGTAATGAGCTAGGCAACTTTTTTGTTGAAGAAAAAATTATCACTAATTAAAAAACGATTGTGATATTTCAGAAGATAAGTGGCCACAAACTTCTTCGGCGTCCTCCATGGATTTGGGGAGCTGGGCTGATTTTACATCTATGAAGCCCGACGATTGGCCTCCACCACAGTCTCAGTCAGAAGATGACGCGTGGAATAAAACTAGTGAAGACATATTTCTCAGTCCTACAGCAGCGGCGCTTGGTGGTGGAATCGCGTCCGTTATTATGGCAGGACAGATGAAGTAGGGATAACTAATTTTCAGGCATTTAATAATTTATTTTTGTAATATCACTGCACTTTTGTTTCACTTTGTGAGTGGGTGATTTCGGTTATGAATAAAAGTAAATATTTCATTTAGTTTTATCACCCATCATAGTCTGAAAATTTTTTATAGGATTTTTAAGCACTTGAAATCTAATCCAATACTTTGGTTAACATTGCGTTTTGAAATTTTAGCAAAATGGGGAGAAGTCTTTGTTACAATTCTCATGAAAAAGGTCTGCAGCTTTTCACTAACTGATGTGAAATCATTGAAGGGAGCAATGTTACGTAGAATAGAATGAGTTCGCTGGTGTACATATATGCATATATTTTACTGTTTTTTTTTTTCAAGGAAGTAAATTCAGGCATTTTTCAGGGGACCCGATTCCAAAAGTTCAGAATGTTGAAGAGATGCATCATTTAATTTTGGATCAAACTTATAAATTTCTTTTATTAGTGAATGTTCGGATTGGGATTACAGCAGAAGGGTTCTTGTATTGTGAAATATTTAAAAATGTATCCCATATTTCCATGTTCGTTGTGATGTTGGTTTAACTTTTTGATTCATTTCATAGCATTTTCATTCTTCTCTTGTAAAATTTTATCTAGGTGGTATGTACTGAATTTGAAACTGCAACTTTTATATAGACTGAATTTTGAAGTTGCAAGCAACATTAACAATTCCAATTTGTGTCACTTTCCAGTGGTTTTTAAAGAAATAAGACCTCTGATTTTTTGCTTGAATGAATTTACGGGAACAGTCTTCAGGAAAGACTCTGTGCGTACTGTTACAATCGGGTAATAAAGTACAGCGAATGACAGTGATCAAATGATTTTGAAGTTAAAGCATATTATTTTCCTGAACAATTTTTTTAGGAGCATATGTGCACATTCATTGTATTTTTAGTTGTTTTGGCTCCATAGTGTTTTTGATTCAGGATGTGATTATAGCTTATTTTAAAAATTTGGAGAGAAATGAGAAATTTAGGAAAGTTTCAGAAGTGGAATATTTATTGTTACTATGCTCTGATGATCATAATATAAATTGACACTATTTATTATTTCTCACGGATTAAGCAGTTTTTTACAGCAGTATTAGTTTCAAGTTGATGAGGAATAAACATGCAAGATGCAACCAAGTGCAGAAATGCATCTTACGCTTTCCTTGTCCATAATTAAAGTGGAAACAATAAATGATGATTGTCTCTTGTCTAGAATTTGAAACAGTTCTGACAGTATGACAAGATTATCTTGTATCTTTTCATAAAGTTGGTTTTTAAAAACTTCCTATCGTAACTGTTTTTTGAACTCTACCATTAGCTCTCTTTCTGATCATCGAAGTTTTTGACTGTGTGATGTGCAAATTGCACTATCAATTTATTATGTTCCTTTTTTTTGATCAGTGGTCTCAATTTAAATTTCTAAATATAAAGGAGAACAGTTATGATATTGATCATCGTTGTGACTTTTAAAGTGTTCAATCACTTTATATCCGTCACATTAAATGAATATGATATTAGATGGTGGTTATAGATTTCAGGTTTTGCCAACCCTTGGCGAAGAAGTTTCCATCGATAGATGATCAGTTAAAGGAAAAATTTAGGAAAAGAGGCCATGAAACAAATGGAAGTACAGAAAATATGAGCTAGACAAAAACTGAAGAGGAAGATCAAATTCAAAGTAATACAGTTTAGGTTGGATTGATAAGGTATGGCAAACAAGAGAGGAATTCGGCTGAAATATGTTGGTGTTAATTTTTATTAACACTATTCTGCAGAAGTGAAAAGAGAATGTCAAAACGAAAGGTATTACTGATGGGAAAAAGTGGTTCTGGGAAGACTTCAATGCGTTCCATCATATTTGCAAACTATATTGCACGTGATACGAATCGTCTTGGGCCAACGATGGAGGTGGAACATGCTCATGTTCGGTTAGTTGTTTCGCTTTGCTTGATGTTGCAAGAAAATCTGAAATGTTTTGGCATGTCAGTGTGATCACATATATTTCGCTCATTAATAAAGAGTGATGTACTTTGCATTTTGTCAGATCATTTTTGCTTAGCTATTTTGTTATTCATAATTGAAATCAATCGTGATATCAACTTGATTAAACGGCATACTTAAATTTTCGTTCAATGTAGCTACGGTCTTCAAAGTTGGAAATAAATGGAACTGAACGGAGCTTTTTACTTATGAATATATTTGTGTCTGATTCACAATGCTGCTCATTGCAGGTTTCTGGGTAATCTAGTATTGCATCTTTGGGATTGCGGTGGTCAGGAAGCGTTCATGGAGAATTACTTGGCTTCGCAGAAAGATCAAATCTTCAAGAATGTTCAGGCATGCCTTCTCTTTCATTATTTACTATTGCGTATCCAAAATCTGGATTTATTCTAAGTTAATAAAATTGCTGTGATTTAATGAAGACTTAATCTTTATTAGTTCTACATATAAGTTATTGGTGCTCAAATTAACAGATCTTTCATTTCTTTCTATATTTAGGTGCTGATATATGTATTCGACGTAGAAAGTCGTGAATTGGAAAAGGATTATCGATATTACCAGTCATGTCTGGAAGCACTGATTCAAAACTCACCAAATGCCAAAGTATTTTGTTTAGTACACAAAATGGATTTGGTTTCTGAAGAACACAGGGATCAGGTTAGCAGCTTTGTGCTGATACACAAAATGAATTTGAGATCACTTGATTTTAGCAAAATTTGAAGTATTTTTAGCGGACATTATCCTTTTAATCATGTTACACTAATACATGGCTTTTTTAAGGACGTTTTTTTTCCTTGTTTTTTATTTAACTGCTTGTTTTATACAACAGAAATGAACGTTCTTATATAATTCATTATTTTAGGTGTTCGCAGAGAAGGAACGAGATATAATGTGCAGATCGAAACTTGCTGCTGAAAAATTTGGTCATGATAATGCTGTTAGGCAGTGTTATCGGTCATCGATTTGGGACGAGACACTTTACAAGGTATTTCCATGCTAGGAAGAATAAAACCCACATGCAATTTCTACAACTTTTAAAATTGAGATCCTATTCGATTCAGGCTTGGTCGGCAATTGTTTGTCATTTAGTACCAAATGTCGCATCAATGGAAGCCAGACTGAAACAGTTTGCTGCAATCTTGGATGCTGACGAAGTTTGTTCTACAATTTTCATTTCGATTGCAATATTTTATTTAAGAAAATTATGGAGCTCTTGCATGACGATATAAAATAACTTTTGGAGATTTGGAATCTTTAAAAGTGATGGTACGATTTTTATAGCTTCTGGAAATATTTAAGCTGATATTTTTCACATTTTACAGGTGTTATTATTCGAAAAGGCAACTTTCCTTGTGATAGCACAGGCACAAATCGTGCAACATGAGGATATTCATCGTTTTGAAAAAGTTTCAAACATCATTAAACAATTTAAACTGTCGTGCAGGTTCAGTTTTCATTACTTTAAAATTGAATATAAGATAATAGCATAATTTAAAACCAGCCATGCTGATAAATTTCCGTCGAAAGCTGTCCTATCTTTGATTTAGTCTTTCTTTTCGTCTGTTTTTGGTTGATCTTTCCGTGGTTGTTTTTATCTCGTTCAACGAGCTTATACTTTCCACTTCTAGATTTTGTTATTTCATTATTCTAAAACATTGCTGCGTTTTCTGATGTTTGTATGTCGCTTTGTAAATAGAAAATTCTTTATTAACCGTTTTGCTTTTCTAAGTTTATCTATTGCTTTAGGAATGAATAATTATGTTAGTAATTTACGTCCATAGTCTACTCTTCTTTCTATTTTTACTTTGCAATTTTGCTATTCTTTATCGATTTTATCTTTGAAATATTCGAACTTGAATGACTGCATACTTGTCGTGTAAAATCAAAACATCTCGGATGTAAAGGAAATTTATCAAACTCCAAAATGATAACCACAACATTATCTCTCACTCTTGAAAAGTTCTATTTTAAAAAATTTTTGAGAAATTTACTAATAATTCATTATTATAGCAAACTGGGTTCCCAATTTGAATGTATATGTGTACGGAATAGTAAATTTGCCGCATTTATTGATAGCTTTACCTGCAATACATTCATTATGGTGGTCTTATCGGATTCAACTGTTTGTAAGTTATTTCCTTTATGATAATGAAGTTGAGTTTTCTGATTATTTGAACTTTTTAATGAGATTGCTTCCTTCAAACGCAAAGAAGGATGTAATGCTTTGCATCGTTGATATATTGCTTTACTTTCCATCGTTGATATACTGCTTTAAAATTGTATAATTCACTGAAACACGCAACAACATGGTTGAAACAAAGAAGCATAAAATTTGTAGCGATTGATTATTGGGTATGTTTACTTTTTTAGTAATCTTGCTGCCAAGTTAACAAATTATTCTGATTTTTAAAACTTTTCAGCATCCGCTGCAATGTTAATGAATATAAGGAATGCTCGAAAACATTTTGAAAAACTAGAAGCTCGGTAACGATCATAATTCATCAATATATCACTGCCATAATTCATCCTCATCTGTTATTCACGATGGATCGAATTGCATATTTCGTATCGCGATAACTTAAAATATAATCATGTTGGACTTTTTACCTAGGCATTTTTTGAAGTTCTGCTTCTGTCATAACTTTTCCAGTGAGAGTTTTTTGATCTCTTTTTCTTTCCTGGATATTTGCAGATTGCTAATCTATTTTTTGTATGTTTCCATCGGTTAATATAAGTTGCTCCGAAGCGAATGACAGTATCAGGGTGATTATACTGTTCTTATAAAGTCCGATGTATACCTCATTTGATGTGAAGCGGTGTACTAATAACATCCTCGTATTTACTTTTTATTTGTATCTTTAGATCTATTTCCTGATTTTGGACTTGAATAAAGAGTTATTTTACAGCTATTAAGTGGCTATTATTTGTTTTTTTTTTAAATTCTATTTATGTATTCAAAATGAAATTAATAAAATTATTGTACTTAAATCTTCTTCAAGGATCTCTTTTATTTCTACATTTTTCCATATTTTTAGTGCTTCTGAAACTAATATCTGATGAAACTCTGTTTTTCAATTAAGTTCTCAGAATAAGGATTAATTTGTTTGAAGAATATATGTAATTATTATTTCTATTTTTCAATAAAATATGCTTTACATTTTCGGAAAAATTTATATTATCATCACCCGTTCGATACATTAAAAGTACATTAGTATTGATATGACTCGCAAGATTTTTAAATTATCAGGTTTTGAGACTTGAATATGTACTGGAAGATTAAAAAATGCATATGATTTGAACATGATTTATACAAAATATCGCTATAAATTTTAACTTTAATTCGTTAAGTTTTTGCAGGTTTAACGATTAAAATAGGAAGCATTGTTTAATCTTGCTAATAGTTTGAACCGCTTTTCAAGGATGATATGGAACGTGTCATTATGGAGCATTGGCCCAGTTGTTCTACCTGTTGTTTTTATTTTCTATTTCATATACCACATGGTTAGGTAAATCTTTTTTATATTGCAAACTCCATTCTTTATCTTTCGATGAAATTGTTATATGTTGATGAATGAGTTTTATTGCAGACCGTTTTGGAAAGTATTGGTAAATTGTTGGTTCTGCAATGAGAATATTCGCGTTTCCTATTGTAGTCAAAAAGCATTTATTTGTTCTAAATGTGGACAATATAATGGTTTTAAAGAGGACGGTGATTATGATCGATTCATTCCGGAGCAGAGATATGAATTTCTAAATCCGGCGCCTAAAAAAAAGGTTTTTCTTATTGAAAGTTAAGAACTTTGTATAGTGTTAATTGTGATAAATAGATTGCCAGCTTATCATGATATCTTGAATACTTTTGTTGGTGAAGTAACCATATGAGCAATGATTATGGCATTTTAAATATGAGAAGGAAATTATGAGATGTTTGATCTCTTGTAGTTTTTTCTTTCGAAGAATTTTAAGACACTTGGACCATAAATTTTAGATTTGATTCTAGTATCATAAAACGTGCATTCGATTTAGCTGGAAATATTTTTATCGGTACATATCATCGTTTTGCGGTTCATTAGATCTCTCTTTAATTAATCAAATTTGCGTCGTTAACAACATATCGACAATATTAAGATCAATGAAAGTCGAAAATCAGTTATTACCAGTGGTTTGTGTCAAAGATGCAACATGCAGCAGGCACGTATTCAGTCACAAATCAACAAATTCGAACCTCGAAATGAGGTTCTTCTTTCTTATATTTAAGCTTATATTAATTTTCCCGTAATTTCCTTTTTTTCCGTAGTTTCTTGCTATATGCACAGATTACAAAAATGTACGACACTCCATATATTCATTTTTTTTTAACCTTAGTGTTCAATTTAAGGCAAATTTTGATGGTGAATTCGAAGTATATAAAACACGTTTGTACAAGAACTATCCACTTTGCAATGATTGTGAGAAAGTGGTGCAAAGAAAATTGGAACTCGATAAGGTTGGTTTCATGTATTCTATACAGTTCAGTTTCATTCCTCTTGCATTAAAGAAATAAGAAAAATATTTCGAAAGTTTAGATTGAATAATTGTTTCCAATTTCAAGTTTTTAGTGAAATAGTTCAGACAGTTAGAGGATAAAGGAAAGCTCTCATTACTTCTTTCATTTCAGTATAGTAATAATTATGAAATAATTAGCAGAGGAAGTCAGCTTTCTGCTGGTTTTAAATAATCGTAAAAGAATTTTTGATATAATTGGCTCTGGCTCATAACTCTATTAACGATTTGTTCGACTACTGTTATAGAAATTTGGTTTAAATCAACTGCAAGTCAGTCGCACAGTTTCGGCCTCTACTCCTACCTGTTATTACAGTCAACCTTCACAGAAATGCTTCTCTGAGGTATTTTCAGTTTTCAAAAAAACTTTTACTAAAAAAAGTATATTCTGCGCTTTTCAGAATATCACTAAGCAGTGATATTGTGAGCTAAATAACTAAAAACAAACTCCCAAAAGTGAGGAGTGAGATAAAGTTACAAAACCAAAAATGTTTAGTTTTAATTTGGTCGTACAAAAAACTTTCGAATGAAAGGGTCTTTCTTTGTTTCACTTTAATATTTTTGTAGATTAGTGAAGTACCACGACGCGGCCGCAGGTCCCGACGCTATCCTGCAACACTGTTCAACTGCGGACCTCTCTCGAACTGTTTAAATCTGATCACATTTTCTTCTTCTTGTTGTCTTTTCGTCGTTTATTTGCTGCAAGTACAAAACAACACTACTATTAATGTGAGTTTTAATACTTTTTGAATGCTTCGATTGTCCTTATGTTAAAATAATTATCACATTTTCTTTTAATAGAATTGCTGAACGCTAACAACGTATTTTAAATAATTTTCAGTTTCAGTTGTTCGATTTGAGTCAGTTGTTACCTTGTTATGTGCTCTCTTCATGGATACCATTCCTGATGTTCCATATTTCAAAGATAATTCTCCTTGGACTCGGTTTGCACATTACCTCAGTGATTGTGATGCATGCTCGACGATCCTTGCCCGATATCGTCTCATTTTTTATTTGGTTAGTTGCCCTGCTTTATAGTGCAAAGTGTTTAAAAAACATTTCATCATTCGTGCAAATACCCACCAAACATTTATTGCCTTTAAAATAGTTTCTTAAAGCAATGTTGTAATGTTTTGTTAGTAATTGAAACAGTAAAATATAAGAAGGCAGTTTTGATTTATTTTATGATATGTACTTAATACTGATTAAGGTAGCATTTTGTAGTCATAATATAGTGTTATGTAACATTTGCTTTCACTATTCAGAATACGTAACGTTTAAGTTTAGTTGGTGAACAGTTATTAATTCAATTATGTATAACGTTTCATGTTTCATTCGAAATATTTATCTTAAGAAACTAAATGCTGATTTCAGGTGTGTATTGTTATTCCTAAAAATTAGTGAAGATGAGAAGCAAGAATTGCTTTTTTCGCAGTTAAGCTTCGTGTCTATACTATGTATAGTTTCATTTGCTGTTGCATTTTTTCCTCGTAAATTATTGCATCGAAAACGGCCGAACAGTATCATACAAAGGTATCCATTAATATTAGCTAGCTCGAAAATTAGTTCCCATTTATCATTGTAAATTGCCCGAGTAGTTGTGGACATTTTCACATGTAAAGAATTCGCTCTATCTAGTTGTATTTCATTTGCAGGATAATTCATTTGATATTACGGAAATGCAGAAAAAAGTTTCAGTGCTCTGAGTCTAATTTGATATGAAATGAGACGTGAAAGCACTTAGATGCATCTTTTAAATGACTGTTCTGCACTGCCAATTAACGCTTCCCCATAAAGGCATCCACAATTCATCAATTTAATTATGCATATGCATGCGTTCAATAGTAATAAATACACGATCATTTAAAATTTTATGATATGTAAGTATTTTCAGTGCATTCTCAATAGCAAGCACTCCAGTGTCACAGTGTAGTACTCTCTCCGTTCATACCAATAAAAGTGTATCCTTTTCGGAAAGCGTGCGAGATAGAACTGTCTCATCCCAAGAATCAACACCTACAAGAGAATTGGGGAAACTTTTTAATTCCTTATCACTTGGTGATGATTTAAGCCATCTGAAAAGGACATCAATCCTGCAGCGACGGCGAGGTGATGCTTTTAAATAAATCTATTTTTAAACTTTTCTATCATTTATGCTTTCGATTTCTGTGTTAATTAGTCGTTACATTCAGATTTTCTCGTATAAATTAGAGTATTTTTTTTGTAATTTGTCGATAAGCATTTAACTATTATAGGTCCTTTTGATTCTATGAAAAAACCGATATTGGCAGAACCTCGTTTGCGAATTCATGATACTCGAGAGAAAATGTTTTTGGATAGTGAAATGCATATTCCTTCTTCACGCTACGTGAGATCATTTGCTCCGTCAACAATGACGTCAGTAACTTTGACACCTCATCCATCAAAATTTACATTATTTAATATCATTTGTCTATTTGGGACATTGTTAAGTTTAGTTCTGAATGTTTTCATGTTTTACAAACTGTTTTATTCTGCGAAATCATGAATGCTTTCATTGTTTGTTAGGCAATATAGTTAAGCCCATTATCTTTCCTACCATTTATGCTTTCGATTTTTGTGTTAATGAGAAACGAGAAATGCTATTGCATATTACTAGCACTAAAAACATTGTGTTGGAAATCAAAGCATTGTGATGATTACATGAAATTATGCGTAGTATATGGATCTAAAAGAGGTATTTCTGTGGTAGTGAATGCTAATTAGCCCAATGAGATCACTGATTTTTATGGACCAAAATTTTAAAGGTTTTTTTTTTGAAATGAGTGTATTTTTTTGCATGTTTTTAAAATTTATTGGTATTTTAAGCCGAAGTATAAGCATAAAAAAATTAAGACAGAATTTGAATTGATTTTTGTAGTTTAAAATTTTTGGTGCAGAAATGCTCGGTGTATCGTATGTTTTATATTGGTAATTTGCTAGCTTTTTTGTTTGAGTGCTATAAAAGATGCGCCGCAGTTTGTGGCATTTGCATACGTTCATGTTGTTTTTTAATTGAGACCCCAGTGATTTCCTTTCAAGACCTGTTGTTGCTTGTTGATCAGTTTAGATGTCATTACTCTGTCATATGATTTCACCTCTTTATTTGAAGAAATATTTGTTAAATGAATGACTTGCTGGAATGCCAAGTTTTTAACTGTCAATATGGAAACAAATGAAATGAATAAAGCTAAGATTGGATATATGGTTAGAATTCTCAAATGTATAAGTGACCATTATCGAATGAAATTGTAATGTTAATGTAAGTGATGGAAAGGAATGCATATTTGAAACAGATGACCTCTTATAATGTTCCCAACTATATTCATTTCTTAAATTTCCGATTTGTTATATTTATATGATGATACCAGGCTATATCTTAATTTATTTCAGTATAACTGGATATAAAATGTGACCTCAAGAGGGATATTCCACTTCCTTTCAACGGTAGTAATCGAGATTAAATTTATGGCGACCTTCTGATATTGTGATAATGCATGGTTTTCAAAAGAAAAAAAATCCATTTATTTTTTAAATGAAAAAAGAGTAACATTTGAATGTTTAGTGTAATGATATTGTAATTTAGAATAAAATGGGATATATATGGAAAAATCATTATTTGTTAGAAATGTTTTTGTAATGAATTTATGAAAAATAAGATAAATGGTAACACAAAAAAGTGGGACATTTGAAGATTTTCTTTTCATTCAAATATATTTGTCTTTGAATTATTTCGATGATGCAAAAATCCTGAAATAGAAATAGTATATTTGTATAGCAGTAACAGAATGTAATAAATGCTGTAACTCCTGACATTTAGCTAAGGAGAGTAAATGTTTCCCCATAATTGCGACTCCATCAATTCTCATTAGAAAAGAAATAAAATCTTGGAGCGGGATTAAACAAGCGATAATTTAAAAAGATTAAAGTAATTTAGGCTATGTCTCTATTAGTTTAAAGATTCTAGATAAATGCAATAGAACTTCATTTTAAGCTCTGAAAACGCAGTTGAACAAGGGAAGAAATAACCGTGAAAGAAGGATAGTATGAAGGAGAATGTAGCATGAAGATTATATGAGTATCAGTTAACAAGTTTGAAAGACTTTCTCTATAGAACTAAGGCTAAAGGAGTCGAGAAATGAGTAGCGTAAAGAGATGAAGGTCAGTGATATAGATGGATACGTATATCATATCAGCAAGCAGTTATAAAGAATTTACCGATTATTTTTTCTTTTATTTTCCTATTTCAATTAATTGATTAAAATTACAAGTAATTATCGAAATAAAATGCACCAATTCATCGATCAATTCCATCATCACTTCGAATGGCAATGCTTGTTGCTTCCTTCACTGAAACATTTGTCCATTATAGCATCACCATGACCTGTTTCCTGATGACAACCATGACATGATTCTGCACCTATAAACTTAGTAAGCAATATAATTGTTAGAATTAAAAAATAAAGTTTTTTCTTACTCAATGCATATATCGAATCCCTCTTTAGATGTGAGTTCGATTAGCAATGTTTATTGTATGCTTGAGAGAAGAGATAAGAAATTATTTAAATCATACGGTCAAAAGGTCAACAAGCATTTACCATCTGCTTATAGAAAAAAAAAAATGATCAGAGAAAATTATCCATACAAAATATGCAAAAACCAACTCCAATTGTCTTTTCGAGATCATTATTTGCTATGAAATTAGCAAATCTGAAGGTTGTCCTAGAGAAATTGTGATGTGAAAAACTATTTTATACTTTTTTCTTTGAACTATCCAAAAATCATCACTTAAATTTGATAGGATTTTTTAGTGAAACTCACATGTGACACGATATACATGAAATGTTGTGCAATGAAATGCTATCATATATTGCATACGTAAGCAAAACATTTTAAAAAACTTGCAAATATTTATTTCTCTGCTAACCTGAAGACTTCATCAATCTTTTCATAATATTTCAAAAAATACAAATCAAAATTGAATTTTTTCAAAAAAAAATTTTATCTGAAATTTTAACGAACAGCAATTTGTAATATTTCCAAGATTTTGTTTTTTTTTTTTTTTTTCGAGGAAATTGTCAATTTACTTGATTGATTTTTTCATATTATAATAGTGGGCAGCATGAAAATGAATGCACTTACATTTCGATTTCTCTTTCGATTTATCGGGGCATTCCTTACATGTGCATTCTTTGCCCTCATGACATCCTGCAAAAAAAAAAAAAAAAATGATAGAAATGAAGTGACTCGAGAACTTCTTATCCTCTGCAATTAATATAAGCTTGAGCTTTTTGTGTAAAGCTTGAGTTCTATTTTAAATGATATAAAATGGAAATAATAAATTTCCTCTAAATTTAAATAAACAATACGGTAGTTGCTAATGAATGAATGGATGCTGAAGTGAAATGACCATATACTCTCTATAATTGAATATCATTTAGTCTCCGGTTGTATAAATTGATATGAGAAATCTGATTGAAATTAATTGTCTGTTAAATTTTTGAAATTTAATCAACAATTCCTAGAACTGATAAACTTTTTAGATTTTTAAATTTCTTGCAATATTGCCCATTAAATAAGAAATGCTTTAGAATAGCAGCTTATTTATTCATCTTTCTATTATTTATTTTTATTACACAATAACTTTTGCCCGATATTTCTACACTGTTGTTGGGTGATAAATTTACTTTTTCTTTTTTTTTTTTTTGAAATTACAGCTAATGCTCACATGTGAACATCAAGCAAATGAAGCACGTCCCTCCATTGTCATTTAATTCTTCTTCTGTGAGATTGGAAATGCAAGTAAAGAGCACAAAAGGTCAGATAAAGTAAAATGATTTGTTAGATGACCATCTGCGTCAAAGGGCAATTAGGGACAATTTTTTTTATTCGATTAATTGTTCTTGAGGCAGAGCGCTATCATCACAGTAAATCGATACGGATTGAACGTTAACCCTTTACAGTCTGGTTTTAGTCAATTTTATGTGCATAATACAAATGTTGGATGCAATTAACAAAAGAAAAAAAAAATAGCTGGTCTTAATGATTCATCAATTAGCAGAACAGAAGGCAAACAAGCTAGCAGCAATTCAACGATACAGTACTAATTAACTATTAGTTCCGCATTCATTTTTTTTTTTTTTGGTTTCTATCTTTTCAGCTATTTTATGAATAAAACCTTCCCATGGATAAGCATATTTGTAATAGCTTCAACCTTTGATAAAATCATGGTAAAAAAAAAATCGCTAATACATTCTGAATGACTATTTTAAGTGTAAAATTAATAAGCTAGGTAAAATAGTCTGAAAAAAAGAATGATAAAATGATAAAATGGAGTCATACCGCATTTACATTTCGTCATATCTGTTGATAACACAGCGATTGCAATTGCCGACCTTCACAGATTACTATCAACAAAACTGAAATTATGATAATAATGGAAAGAGAATGACTAGTGTCTTCTTTTTATTTCATTCTCTCTCTCTCTCTCTCTCTCTCGCTCTCTCTGAAATCATTACTGAGAAGCGATTATTATTTATGTAGAAGAGTGTTGACATTATTAACGACAAACTCTCACCTTAGTTACACCCCCATTTTCCTCTTACTCTTTTGATCTATTTAAAATTTATCAGCAATTCTTACCAAAACTGGAAAATGAATCATGGGATCAGCCAGCATTCC